TGGCAGTTTTCATGTGTCTGTGGAAGTGTGTCAAGCCTGCAGTACCCTGTGTCATTCTCATGTGGTAGAAAAACTGCCACGTAGGATAGGATACTTTTTCTTCCAGACAATAATGCATAAAAAGTTTTCCTTTAAGCATATCGAATCTTTCATAGCAATAGAAATTCAATTTAAAATTCAAAAAGGTCTGAGTACTATTGGCTTAAAAATAAGTATTTTCATGTTCTAAAATGGTGGTTATTTTGAGATAAAGCTTAGTACTTAAAAGATGCTTCATGGATTATAATAAAGATGGAACAATTTATTATTTATACATTTTACATTAACATTTTAAATCAGCATAATTTGTTTTGCCTTCTTTCCTCTATATGCTAGTGTGTTAATTGTAAAATAATAGTTCGTGTGAGACAGTGGTAATTAAAGTTTTAATTTTTAGTGATCAGCAAAAGTAGTGAGGTCTAGTGCCTGGTGAAGGCTAAAAGTACAGCTTGTGTTTCACAGGTACATCTTGCTGGTGAGTTAAGTATTTTAAGAAGGGAAAATCAAGAATTATGGGTGTCAATTAAACATAGAAAGAAAGACAAATAATTGAATAATTTTCCCCTTTGATTTTGGTACATAAAACCGGAATAGGTAAAATTCACAAGTTAAGGTAATTTCCATGGATGAGTTTAAGGATGATCTATCAAGTTGTTTTCTAAGAAACTCAACTCATTTGGGTGTCCAGTAAAGGAAATAATTTGGTGGAGTGTTGGACTTGCTGCTTGTTTATTGTCTCTTTCCTCAGTCTGTAATGTTCATTCCACAAGAGCAGAGAGAGTTGCCTGCTGTGCACTGCCATATTCTCTTGTGCTTAAAACAATATGTGGCCTGTTGTAGATGCTTATTAGCACATATTTCTTGAATGACTAAACTTTGAGTTTTTATTTAACCATATTTTATTTTTTGGATGAAGAGAGAAAAATTTAGAAAGAGAAGGAACTCTTTAAGTATACTAGGATCATACATATGGAATTGTAGAGAGTTTCAGTGTGCTGTATAAGAGGAGAGAGATTCTGGAATATAGGGAAAGTTGGAGCAGAGATGGAATAATGACTGGGTAGAGAAGGACTATTCTTTGTCCTGAGAGTTTCTCTGATATTAAGGCCCTCCCACTTGAAAGCTGCTGTAGAAATTCAGTTCTGCAAGGTTTAAAATAAATATAAATGGTTGCATCTTATGCAATACTAGGTTATTTAAAAGAACATGATGCCAATCTTTATTCAGGTAAAGGTGATGCTTTTCCCATCTCGGAAGATGTTGAGATGCTGAGTTTGGCTATGAAAAGATGCTGTGTGTTATAAAGGCAATCTCATATTGCCATTTTGGTTACATTTTGCATTGCAGGAAATCCAAGATGCATTCCGGTAAAATCTGAATGAAGGGGAGGGAGGACAGTGGCCCTTACGGTACTTTTTGTTTTTCTAAAATAAAACTAAGTTTTACGTAAAGCTTAAAACTTTACTTCATATAGTAAATTCTCACATTGTGATTGTTTGAGCATTCCTATAGGAAGGGATTGTTATTGTGTTAAATTCTAAATGATATGAATAATTATTGAGTTGCTCAGTTCTGTGTAGGATACTGCTGTTTTGACTCCGTAGAAAGCTTGTTCTAGCCCTGCTATATATGCCTGAATATCCTTGACTTGGAAAACAAGCTCGGTTAGAGCCTTGAGACTGCTTGAAATCAAGTAAAGCAGTGTGTGTTTCCTCCACTTGGACTGAATGGGATTTAAGAAAGGTAGCAGTGTTATTCTTGGATAACTTAGTTGTAGTGTATGTTTGATAATTTTTTTCCATTCAAACCTTTCTAAATTATATCTGAAAACATTATTTTCAAATTCTTAGACCTCAAATATTCAAGAACCCTGCACAGTATGTTATAGAAAGGGAAAAGAATATTACATTTTCTGAGAATTACTGTGTGTTTGGTATTTGTGAAACATCTTTATTAAAATAATTCTCATGGGATTTTTGTGGGTAGACCTAGAAAAATAGTGAATGGTTGTTACTGGCCTTTAAGATAGGCAGCTTGTGGGGCCGGCCCAGTGGCGTAGCCGGTTAAGTTTGAGCTCTCCACTTCAGCGGCCCGGGCTTCGTGGGTTCGGATCCTGGGCGCGGACCGTCGCACGGCTTGTCAAGCTGTGCTGTGGCGGCGTCCCATGTAAAGTAGAGGAGGATGGGCACGGATGTTAGCCCAGGGACAGTCTTCCTCAGCAAATAGAGGAGGATTGGTAATAGATGTTAGCTCAGGGCTAATCTTCCTTATACACACACAAAAAGGCAGCTTGTAAGTGGCAGAGGTGGGATTTTGAACAAGAGTTATGTTTGAATCCAGAAATTATTTTTAATTGCTCCATACCTGTTTCTTGCTCATAATCTCTCAAGGTAGCGTACTGAGGAAAAGGTATCCAATTCTTATGTGGTGGTGGGGAGGTGGCTGTTAAAAATAGCAGAATAGATCAGAGTATGCTATGCTGAGACCTTACGTATCTGCGCAGCAGTACTGGAAATCTAGAAGTGTGGAGAACTTGACAGAGGTAGAAGAAAATGAGAAACCAAGAGAAAGAAAGGTGAGACTATATAAGATAGGGATGGCAAGCAGCTTGAGGCTTTGCTGATGGAATATTGTGCAAGGAGCAGATGATTTAGTTCTGTGGTCTGAGAGAAAGGTATTTTTGTTTGGGGGAGAAGTTACACACTGCCACCTTTTCCGTTTACCTTAAAGTTATTTCATTTAAAGGGATAGTCCCTTAGTTATCCACAGAATACTTTTGTCTAGAATAATTTAGCCCCTGAATTTTGCCAGATATTTTTTATTTGTCTGTAGATGGAGGGTTATTGGGATATGTATAGACGAAAGGATGTTGAGCATAAACAAAACAACACAAGAATCTAATTTTATTTTAACTCAAATGATCTGCAAAGCAAGAGAGCAGTCAGTGCTATCTATAAATTTTATCCTGGGGAAAATATATGTAACAAAATATGCTATTTTAATCATTTTTAAGTGTACAGGTCACTGGCATTAAGTACATTTACATTGTTGTGTAACCATCACCACCATCCATCTCCATAACCTTTTCATCTTCCCAAACTGAAACTCTATACCCCTTAGACGATAATTCCCCGTTCCCCTCTTTCCCCTCTATAATCCCTGATAACCACCTTTCTACTTTCTGTCTCTCTGAGTGTAGGTACCTCATGTAAGTGTGGAATCATAGGATATTTGTCCCTTTGTGACTGGCTTATTTCACTTAGCGTAATGTCCTCAAGGTTCATCCATATTGTAGCATGTGTCGTAATTTCTTTCCTTTTCATGCTGAATAATATTCAATTGTATGTATATACCACATTTTGTTTATCCATTCATTTGTCCTTGGGTTGCTTCCTGGAAAGACTTTAAAGAGAGATAGTATTGGTTTAATGGACAAGGTAATAGAATTACTTCTAGACTTTCTGTCTGTGCTTTGGTTAAGTCACTTCTTAGAGCCTTGGTTTTCTAATTTATAGAAAAATACCACAAATTCTGTGTAAACTGTAAAGATTTACCTAAAAAATACCACTTTAGTTTGAGTGTGCCTCAGGGTTCGTCCTCTCTACCCAACTTGCCCCACATTTGGGAATATGTTATGATACTTCTTCCCACCTCCCAAGATTGTGACCCCCTCACTCTCAGAAGGAGGCTGTACGAGGTAAAGGCTGTGTTTATTTGGGGAGGGGAAAATAAACCTCCCAGGAGATGCTGATGAATCCATCTTCTCCCACCCTTTTGTGAATAGCTGTAACCAGTCAGCTAAGGTTCTTTTTTTTTTTTTTTTTGTGAGGAAGATCCGCCCTGAGCTAACATCTGCCAATCCTCCTCTTTTTGCTGAGGAAGTCTGGCCCTGGGCTAACATCCATGCCCGTCTTTCTACACTTTATATGGGATGCCGCCACAGCATGGCTTGACAAGCGATGTGTCGGTGCGCGCCCAGGATCCGAACCGGTGAACCCCGGGCCGCCGCAGCAGAGCGCATGCACTTAACCTCTACGCCACCTGGCTGGCCCCCAGCTAAGGTTCTTAATCTTGTGGCACATTAGAACCAAACACCGGGGGAGATTTTTTTGAAAATTACTGATGCCTAGATTTCACTCCCAAATACTGTAATTTATTCAGTCTGGAGAAGGGTTTGGACATCAGTGTTTCTAAAAGCACCTCAGATGATTTTACCATGCAGGGAAGGATGAGACCCATTGAGAGTTGAGAGTTTGGTCACTTTCCCCATACACCTTTGTTAGTCACGTAGCAAAGAATTCCACTGTTAAACAGTTATGGTCTGAGCCCTGTCATGGCTCTGGGAGTGTCAGGGCCTTGCCAAAAGTGGGATGTCAGGGTCACTTGACAAACTCTGTCGTATTGGAGTAGTAGTATATAGTTTGAACCCTCTCCAAAGAAAAATTACCCCAAAGTTTTGAAGTTTCTGTTAAAACCACTTGTAAGGTTGTTTAAAAATCGTTTATAATGCCCCAGTATCAGTGATAAATGTTAGTTGTTCAATCCTTCCTGAAATGTTTTTAAAAATCAGATTTTATTGCCTGGTTTATGTCTTGAGTATATACATTTTTACGGTCCGTTGAAGGCATTAGCAAATTGAAGACAGTTTTTGCCATTGCGTAATTGAATTAAAATGACAACTAAGTACGTACCTTGATAATGTCATTGGAATCCCAGGAGAAAAGTGAAATATTATGTCATAAGGCTATACTTTTATGTTTTCTTGATATAACAGCTGATGTACCATTATCAGTTTATTTAGTTGAATATAGCATCAATGAAACTTAGCTTTTCACTTTGCTCTCTCATTTATATAGCCACCTTCTCCTGACTAGATTCACTGGTAATATTTTATTTGAACTGTTCCTTAATTCATGTTTTTTATATCTAAAACATATGTACTTTTTTCCTTTTATTTGTAGGTTATGCAATGGTCTCTGCAAGATGGTTTATTCTTGAATTGGAGCTTTTTAAGACTGACAAATGCTGGTACTTCATCTTCTATAAGTGGACTACTATAATTTCTTTTCTCAAGACAACTACATAAGCAGACAAAATTGCAAAGATCTGCCCTGTGTCGAGTATGACAGCCACGACTCGTGGCTCTCCAGTAGGAGGGAATGACAGCCAGGGCCAGGCTCCTGACGGACAGTCTCAGCCACCCCTCCAACAGAATCAGGTAGGATGTTTAAGATGCTAGTTAAAGCTACATTGGTATGCCTACTATGGGATACTCAATAATGGAGCATGTTCTGAATAATTGATGAAGTAACCATAAAAGTGTTATTTTAAGAAAAGTAAACAGAGGTCTTATACAGTAACGAGAGCTCAAGTGCTGTAGATGGTGGTGCTTGATTATGTAGCCCTTCTTTTGGTATCTTATACTGTCATTCGTCATTAAAATGAAGTATTTAAGCCCTGTGTCAATTGCAAAGCAAAGCATTAAATCATTCAGTGTAGTCTATGGTGAAGAGCGTGGACTCAAAGTCATATTGCTTATGTTCAAATTTCAGCTTTGCACTGCGCTAGCTTTATGACTCTGGGTAAATTATATAACCTCTAAGCCTCAGCTTTTCATCTATAAAATGGGGATAACAATAGTGTTATAGGATTTCATAGGATTGTTAAGAGGATCAAGTGAAATAATGTTTGCAAAGAGCTTAAAATAGATTTTTTTTTTTTTTTAAAGATTTTATTTATTTATTTTTTTCCCCTTAAAGCCCCAGTAGATAGTTGTATGTCATAGCTGCACATCCTTCTAGTTGCTGTATGTGGGACGCGGCCTCAGCATGGCCGGAGAAGCAGTGCGTTGGTGCGCGCCCGGGATCCGAACCCAGGCCGCCAGCAGTGGAGCGCGTGCACTTAACCGCTAAGCCACGGGGCCGGCCCTTAAAATAGATTTTGACATCAAGATTTTGTGCTGGCCTCAAAACTCAGGGTAATATTCTTTCTTTTTCTGTTCTCTGGATGAATTTTTGTAAGATTTCTGTTATTCATTAATCATTGGAAGATTTTACTGGTGAAACCATCTCGCCTGGAGTTTTATTTGTGGAAAGGTTTTAATTGCAGATCCAACTTTTCTTTTAATGGGGGAATTTTCTGATTTTGTGTGTGTGTCTTTTGATAAGTTGTGTTTTTTGAGGAATTTGTCCATTTCATCTAAATTATCAAATTTATTGGAGTAAAGTTGTTTATAATACCCTTTTTATTTTTAATGTCTTAAGATCTGTTGGTAACATCTCCTTTTTCATTTCTGATACTGCTAATTTGTGTTCTCTCTCCTAGAAATTGTATCAATTCATTACATCTTCCCCCAAACCAACTTTTGGCTTTAATTCTCTCCCCCTCCTCACTTATATGCTTTTACCCTTATCTCTTTGTTCCTTTTACTTCTTTGGATTTGGATTGCTGCTCTTTTTCTCATTTCTTGAAATGAAAGTCAGGTAGTTGATTTTCAGCCTTCTTTTCTAATGTATGCACTTTTATATTGGGGACATTAAACCGAATAAGACAAACATACTAAAACTTGTGCTGTGCAGCTCAGGTAGCGCTTAGAGGTGAATTTATAGCTGAGGTGCGTGCACGTGAATCACAAACATGCTGCTTACAGCTGGTATGTGTTTATGTAGAATTCTTTAGGGATACAAGTTTTTAGGCAAAAGTATTGTTATTGTAGGGTGCTTAGATTTGTCATTTGGGGATAAATTCTTACTGTCCAGCCATTATAGATTAGATACTCTGTTACAAGTATGCTAGAAAAGAGCTGCGGGTGGGCTCTCCCTTTGCTCCCTTCCCTCTCCCCATTTCTTCCTCTCCCTCCGCCATTTTAGAGAAGTGAGCAAGTCAGGTTTAAAATTTTTTTTTCCTGAATAAATGTGTCAACTTTATTTCTTTTCCTCTCCAGTTCCCACTTTTAAGATATAAAGTACTTAAGTATATTGTCACAGGTCTTGGACAGAGTTGTTAAGTCTTTCCTGTGTCATAAATTTGTTAGCCAGTATTCAGGTTTCTTTAAACATAGAGGTTTTTGTTGGACGCCAAAGATTTCTATTTTTAAACCAGGAGCTAGTAGTTAGAGTTCCAGTATCTTTCGCTCTCTCTTTTCTGTTTTATACTTGCATTGTATGTGGACTCCTGATATCTTTTGCCATGTTTGGGGCTTGTATGACTTGAGACAAAAATCAAACCTCTATTCTAAACTTACTTTTAAAAGTGTACTTAGTAATTCTTAGAGCTCTTGAGTTTGTGATATTCAACTTAATATTATGCATCTACATTCTGTTCTCTTCTAATAGCTCTTTACATTTTTGAAGATGACTGGTAATTAAAACAACAAAGGAACAAAACAAATTACTTTCTTAACTATCTGTAGAATCCCTCACTCTGTCACTTTCTTATTCTCTATTTTTTTTTTTTGTGAGGAACATCAACCTTGAGCTAACATCTGATGCCAATCCTTTT